CATTTGCCTGCAAATTTCAAGATGTCATTATGATCCCAGAGAACCTAGACAACAATGAGGACCCTAAGAGAGACATTCATGGATCTAATCTACATGGGAAGTAGAAAAAGACAAGATCTCCTGAGTAAATTGGGAGCATGGAGGCCATGGGAGAGAGGAAGTGAGGGGAGCAGAGAAAAATGTATAGTTCAATAAAATCAATATTTAAAAAAAAAAACATTAAAAAATACCGACAGAAAAGCTGAGAATCTAGCTCAGTCATCTGAGTGCTTGCTTTGCATGCAAGAAGCCCTGGGTTCAATTCCCAACACTGCAGAAAATGATATAATCATAAATGCCTGCATAAAATGCCTATAATTCCAGTGTTCAGAAAATAAAGACAGGAGAATCAGAAAGTCAAAGTCATCCTAGGCAATATAATTAGTCTGAGGCAAGCCTACATTAAGACCTGGAGAGAGAGAGAGAGAGAGAGAGAGAGAATACGTAGAGAAACTTCATTATCAAAAGATCATTAACAAATGCTATAACATACATTTAAACACACGTTTGTAACAAAATACAGTATAAAAATACCTAAAACCAGCAATATACTCAGTGAACAATAAAAACATGTGCCACATATATCCATATATTCACCCAACTAGCTTATTCACAACAGGAATTCACGACACAACATTCTTCGTGCTTCAAATATACCACACTCAGACCACCCCTCCACACACAAGGCGTTCACTCTTGAAACTATACAAGCATCGCCATTCCCTAAAACACAAACCTCCAGCACACCTAACTGATACAGGACACACACTTTGATGGTTCATTCGTTCAGAAAGGATTTACTGAGCTCCTGCTATATGTGGTCCACAAGGAAACAACATAGAACTTGCTCTTAATCACAAACCTGTGTTTTTCTGTGCTTGAGTCTGTTGCCTGGAAGATCAGATAAGTACGGAGAAAGAATTTGGAGTTAGGACACCCCTTCCACCCCAGAATCCACAAGGCCTTTCTACTTCCCTTGGTCCAATCCAGCTCCCACAAGGGTCCCCCAGAGCCCTTTCCTACCCTGCAGGGATCCTCTCCTACCCTGTAGGGACCTGCTGCATCCTCCAGGAAGCGCACGGTGTGAGCCCTATGCTGTCCGGCCTCGCGGCACACCACACACAACTGTGCCTCATCCTCCTCGCAGAAGAAGTAGACTTTCTCTCCGTGTTCAGGACAGGCATCCTCCACCTCCAGACCTTGCGTGGATGCCAGCTGAAGGCGTTCGATGTTCTCCACCACATTGGCCAGCTGCCAGTTGGGCCGGAAGCTCCCTAGTCGGAAAGGCTCTTTGCAGAGCGGGCAGCTGAGGGACTCCTCCGATTCCGGGCCTGGGATTTCACAGTAGCGAGTGAGGCAGCCACGACAGAAGTTGTGGCCACAGTCGATGGTAACTGGCTCCCTTAGGGTGCCTTGGCAGATGGGGCAGTTGACCTCATCTGCCAGGCTAGTCACAGAAGGAACTGAGGCCATGTCAATCTTCCTGGACCTTCTGCTTCCCGGAAGTCACCATCTCTGCTTCGTGTGAAGAATACACTCCACACGCACACCATGCCTGAACACACACTTGGACAAGGGGCCCAATTGCATCTCTGGCACCAGGGGTCCCTTGTCCTGTTCTCCCAGGAGCGGACACACTTCTGCCAACAGCAGAAATGACGAAATAGCCGAAGGGGGTGACCCAGGAGCTCACAGCATCATCTAGAGACGCTGGAGTATCTCTGGACCAGTACCCATGGCTTAGGGGATCGCCATCCCCTTCTGTCCGCCTGGAGCTGCCCACAGGAAGATGAGAGTGTTTAGTCTCTCAGCAGTCCGCTGTTAAAAGAGATCTAACTTTGGGAAAGGGAGGAGCCTGGCTCACAGAGGACCGCTGCCTCCCCTGCTCTGCAACACCTGTCTCCAGGGAGATTGGCGGTATCAGCCAGCACAACGCCTGGGAGTCAGTGGACAGGGCATGTGGGGACTCAGATAAGGCTCTTGAGCTGGGGTGTGTACAACACAGAGGCAACCGTGGTGATGCCTCCATAGGCCCATGACAGACTTTTAAAGAGGGCTGGGAAAAATGCATGGGGGGGGGGGGATGGAGTCACAGCCAGCACTTTTTTTTTTTTTTTACCATGACTACACATCTTCCAGTGACCGGTGATAGAAGCACTTTAAACAGTTTATTTATTTCCCATCTGGCCTATCACATCCTGCTGTTTGTACCTCCACTTTGCAAGTTCCACCTCACATCATCCAAGGTGAACAAACACACAAGTGACTATCTACAAGTCAAAGCTATGAGTCTTCCAAGCAATGCAGTCTACCAGAAACACAAAGCACACTGGGCATGGTGGTGCATGCCTGTGATCTCAGCTCACGGTTTGGAGAGATGGTAGAATCAGGAGTTCAGGACCAGTCTCTACTTACATAGTATCAGCCTGAGCCACATGAAATGTGTCTTGGAAGAAAGGAAAACAGAATTCAGTGGAAGCCACATTGTATATATGCGATGTAAAATTTTCTAGCTGCCAATATGAGCTGAGTCACGGCGGAACAGAATTATAAAGCGACATGACTGGGACAGCTTGCTATTTTTTTCTTTTAAATTATCGGGTTATTATTAATGTGTGGGTGTTCGTGTGTATGTGTTTGTGCATGTGTGGTGGGGTGCGTATGTGTGTAGTGGTGTGTTTGTGTGTATGTGTGTGGGGTGTGTGAGTGTGTGTTTATGTGTGGTAGGGTGTGTATGTATGTGGAGTGGTGTGTTTGTGTGTTATGTGTGTGTGGAGGGGTGTTTGTGTGTGGTGGGGTGTGTTTGTGTGTAGTGGGGTGTGTTTGTGTGTGTATGTGGGGGGGGTGCTGGTTTCCCAGCAGAAATGTGGAGTGTGAAGGGCAGCTTTGTGAGGTCAGTTCTCTCCTTCAATCATGTGGGTTTTGGGAAAAGAGCTCAGGTTCTCAGCAGCAGGTGCCTTTACCCATTAAATTTATTCATCGGTAAACTTAACACTGATTCCTGTTAAAATTCTTAATGACACTGTGATTGGGTGGAGGAATTTCTTATTCTGAAGAGATATATGTTGTATTTGTGGAAGAGAAAGCAGGTGACCTAATCGTTACCCGCAGAGGACAGAGTTGAAAAGAACAACAGGTAGTTGTGCTAATATTCCTTCACAGTACCAATAAGTTTGGATTCTTCTCATAATCAAGGTCGAGAAAAATGTGAGAAAAAAGAAAAGTAGATAAAAATAAATGTCAATAGTATATTTAAGTTGCTCTAATGTTTCCAAAATATTATTTGAACACAGTCAATATAAAATACTAGCAAACTTGCACATTTCTCTGTATTTATGTGAAGTCTTTTATACACACAGCACACCTCAGCCAGGGCTGACCACGTACCGCTGCTCAGTTGTTGGGGGTGTGCGGCTGGGGAGTAGGTAGGGCAGACGGTTGTTGAGGGGTGTGCGGCTGGGGGAGTAGGTAGGGCAGACGGTTATTGAGGGGTGTGCGGCTGGGGAGTAGGTGGGGCAGACGGTTGTTGAGGGATGTGCGGCTGGAGAGTAGGTAGGGCAGACGGTTGTTGAGGGGTGTGCGGCTGGGGGAGTAGGTAGGGCAGACAGTTGTTGAGGGATGTGCGGCTGGGGAGTAGGTGGGGCAGACGGTTGTTGAGGGGTGTATGGCTGGGGAGTAGGTAGGGCAGACGGTTGTTGAGGGGTGTGCGGCTGGGGAGTAGGTGGGGCAGACGGTTGTTGGGGGGTGTGCGGCTGGGGGAGTAGGTAGGGCAGACGGTTGTTGAGGGATGTGCGGCTGGGGGAGTAGGTGGGGCAGATGGTTGTTGGGGGGTGTGCGGCTGGGGGAGTAGGTAGGGCAGACGGTTGTTGAGGGGTGTGCGGCTGGGGGAGTAGGTAGGGCAGACGGTTGTTGGGGGGGTGTGCGGCTGGGGAGTAGGTGGGGCAGACGGTTGTTGAGGGGTGTGTGGCTGGGGAGTAGGTAGGGCAGACGGTTGTTGAGGGGTGTATGGCTGGAGAGTAGGTAGGGCAGACAGTTGTTGGGGGTGTGCGGCTGGGGGAGTAGGTAGGGCAGACAGTTTTCTCAATGGGTTGTTATTGGATGTAGTTCTGGAGTAATTGCTAAGAGGATGTATGTATATTGCTGGAACTGGAAAGACAACTGAAGGATTAAGAATTTGCTGCTCTTGCCGAGGACTCAGGCTGGGCTCTCAGCATCTCAGGCTCACAACCATGTGTAACCCCAGTTCCAGGGCATCCGGCACCCTCTTCTGGCCTTTTAGGCACTGCGCACAGAGGTGCACAGACATAAAGGCAGACAAAACAATCATACACGTAAGAAATAAAAATAAAAAATAAATGAAAATTAGTAAAAAGTTAAAATTGAAGGGCTGGAAAGATGGCTCAGTTATTAAGAGTAGTTGTACTTTCAAGAAGGATGTGAATAACACAACTGCCTGGAAATTGAACTTCAGGGGATCCATCTGAGAGAACCTGCACATGTGGCACACCCCAACACACACACACACACACACACACACACACACATACACACACACACACACAAATAAACCTTTTTATTTAAAAAAAAAAAACCTAAAAATGAAATCCAGTATCGCCCAGGCTCTAGGTGGTGCTCAGCATCTGTGTTAGTAGTGCAGGAAAGATGGCACCAGCAGGGGAGGCAGAGAGGCAGATGAGGAAAGGAAGGGCCCGGGAGAGAAAGGTCCTGTGGGCCTGCAGTTCGAAGTCACTCTCAACACCACGGGCTGGACTTTGATGCTACCGTAGGCCTCCTAGAGCGAAATTTATGGCTCTCACCTGCTCAGCGTGACAGGAAGCGGCTCCTCCCCAAAGGCCCCACCCCTCTGTGGCCAAGCGATTCCAGGAAACCCCATTTCCAAGTGACCTCATGGTGCAATACGCTGCTCCCCACCCCAGGGACAGAAGGCAACCGGAGTGGAGAGCTAGGTCTCCTGCCTGCCACTGGGAAACGCTGGGTAGTCAAGACGTCCTGGAGTTTGGACCTGCTTAGCTGCTGGGTGGTGGCCCAGGGTTCTGGGCGTGCCTGAGGCAGGGCAGGTAACTTTGCTGAGCTGACATTCCTGCCTGTCGTTCAGCCTCGGATTCCTCTGCCTCTGTGACAGTGACGCACTTACAAGTGACTCAGTTGGGAAAGGAAATTGGAGTGGACAGAAGCTGAAAACTGTGTAGACGGGCAGGGAAAGGCACGGTGATGCCCTCGACCAGGTCCCTGCGGGGACTCCAGCACGTAGTCTGTCCTGCCTGCTCCCGGCCCCTGAAGGATGCGGTGACCATAGCATGCGGCCACTCTGTCTGCCTACCTTGCCTCCCGCACACCCCGATGGGGGCCCAGCTACTGTGCCCGCTCTGTCAGGAGGAAGAAGAGAAGCAAACCCAGGCCGCAGTGACTCCAGTGCCCCTGGGTGCCCTAGGCGAGACCTGCTGCGAGGAGCACGGAGAGAAAATCTATTTCTTCTGCGAGACCGACGCGGAGCTGCTCTGCGTGTTCTGCCGGGAGAGCCCCGCCCACCAGGAGCACACCGTGGGGTTCCTGGACGAAGCCATTCAACCCTACAGGGTAAGGAACTCAGCTGCTGCTTCCAGGCGGGCAGGAAAAGGGATGGAGATTTGCTGTCCAAAGACATCGCTCAGCCCTCCTCTTCGCTCCTGTCTCCCTGCTGGCACACACACTACACACTTTTCCATCCTCATAGCCACACGGTCCTATTCCTGACCTAGATCACTGTCTAGGTCAAGGATTCGAATCTCTGCACCTCAGTGGTGAGTCCACAACACAGCACACGGTATTTGCCAGTTGGATCTTTTTCACGGACCCGCTTTCCCTATGCTTTCCTCTCTCTGACAGGATCGTCTCAGGAGTCGGTTAGAAGCTCTGAGGACGGAGCGGGACAACATAGAGGACAGGAAATGCGAGGAAGATCAGAAGCTCCGAGAGCTCCTGGTAAAGACCACACTTCTGTTCCTTTGCTTTCTTTTGTTTAGGTACAGGATCTCACATCGCTTAAATTGGCCTAAAATTCACTACTTAGCTGATCTTGCTGTTTCCACCTCCCAGGGGCTGGGATTCCAGTCATGTGTCACCTTACCCTGTTTATGACTAATGGATATCCAGCCGAGGGGGTTGTGCATGCTAGGCACCAACTGAATTACATCCTCAGGCTGCTCCCTTGGGAGTTTCCTTCAAAGACTAAGGAAGTCTGTTACTGGGCTGAGAAGAACTTCAGCATTTTCTAATTCATCTTCCTGCAGCCTCACAAAGGCATCTGGTGTCTCAGGACAGGGAGGCTGGAGGTGGCTCTGATGTTTTTGAAGCCAAGAAATATGTTATTCTTCTCATATACAGGGGAAACCTGAGCTCCTAACACTATGTGGCAAAGTCCAAATTCATGATGAAATGGACTAGAACTTAGGTCTCTTGACCTGTGTCCATGTCTCTCCTGGCCCAGCGTATCCACTGGAAACATCACCTTCACCTGGGACGCCTATGGGGGTGTCCATCAGTGTCTAGGTTCAGGTCATGAGGACAGAAGAAGAATTAGGAAGCTAGATTTTGCTGATTCTCACCATTTCCTTCATGGTGCAGTTATCAAGAGGAAAACACACACTAGGTATTTCTGATACTTTGACCAAAGAGGCAGAGTGTTGAGACAGAAAGCTCTCTTCAGCATCTCTCAAATTCCACCAAAACATGCTTCATAGATGGTAACTGATCACAGTTCCCCTTTGTCTTAATCTTTCTCTATGAGATTACTGTCGTTGGGCTGGATATATAGCTCAGTATGAAGACTGCCTAGAATCATGGAGCCCTAGGCTCAATCCCTGTATTGAATAAAATGGCAGTTCTGATGTGATTCTAGCACTTGGGTGGTAGAGGTAGGAGGGTCAGAAGCTCAAGGTCATCCTTGACTACGTGATGAATTGAGTTTGAGGCCAGCCTAGGAAATATATCTCAAGAAAAGAAAGATGTTAGGACAGTTACTCCACATGAGTCTAAAGATGTGGTAGGTGTGCTGGTTGGTTTTTTGTTAACTTTACACAAACTAGGGTCATTGAGGAAGAGGGAACCCTTCCTAAGTGAGGAACTGAGGGGAAAAGAAAGCAGTTGAGAAAATGCTTCCGTTGCACTGGCTATACGTGGCAAGTCTATGGGACATCTTCTTAATGAAATATTTGATGTTGGAAGGTTCAGCCTACACAGGAACAGGTGGTGCTGGTTAGACAGAAGGCTGAGCATGTCATGGAGAACAAACCAGTAGGCAGCGTTTCTTCACAGCCTCTGTTTCTAGGTCCTTGTTTGAGTTCCTGCCCTGAGTGATGTGGAAGTATAAGATGAAATAAACCCTTTCCTTCTTAATCTAGTTTTTGTCATGTTTTATCATAGTAACAGAGAAAATTAAAAATGATTTTTTTGCCGGGCGATGGTGGCGCACGCCTTTAATCCCAGCACTCGGGAGGCAGAGGTGGGCGGATCTCTGTGAGTTCGAGACCAGCCTGGTCTAGAGAGCTAGTTCCAGGACAGGCTCCAAAGCCACAGAGAAACCCTGTCTCGAAAAACCAAAAAAAAAAAAAAAAAAAAAAAGATTTTTTTTTTTAGTCTAGTGTGGCTCTAAGAGTTGAATGACTTTACAATCCCTGGCTAAGACAACAGCACAGCTCTTATCACCAGCAAGTTCAACTTGAGACCTATCGCTTCCTACCATTGTTACTATTTGAAGAAATGTGTCTTGAAACTGCTTATTCCTTGTTTCTCCTAATAAGTGCACAGATGATCCTTCTGGAGGCCAGTTCTAAGTCCCTCCTCATATCCTCACAGACGCAGATTGAAGGCAAGAAGCAACAGGTAGAAGCCACGTTTGAAAGGCTGAAGCAGGAGCTTGGGGACCAGCAGCACCTCCTGATGACCAGGCTGGAGGGGCTAGAACAGCAGATCTGGAAGGAAAGGGACGAGTACATCACAAAGGTCTCTCAGGAGGTCTACCGCCTGGGTGCCCAGGTTGAGGAGCTGGAGGAGAAGTGTCAGCAACCAGCAAGTGAGCTTCTGCAAGTGAGAGACGCTCCACCATCTTACCACCCTGTGGGACAGCAGACGGTTCCACAAGGGTGGTACTGTGCTGTGACTGGGAGGTGATGGAGAAAGGCAGGAAAAGGAAATGGGGATTATCTCACTGAGAAGGGCTGGGGGAGGGTGTGCTTTCTATGGCCCAAAAGACTGGAAATTTCCCAAGGCATGCATGAGGACCTTGTAAAGAAGACCAGGATCAGACAATCTTGAGTTTAGTGTCAGCTCTTCCAACTATGTCACTTGGGTGAGTCTCTTAGCTTCTCTAAGCAGGGGGTGATAACAGCGTCCTTTCGTGGAGTTGTAAACCATGTAAAAAATAACCCATGTGTGGTACTCAGCACAGTGCCCAGCACGCACGAAGAGCTCCACCAATGCCTTTGTGGTGGTGACCACAATTCTGCCCATCAGTTCCAACCTGGAATCGAGGCTGGTCTCTGCTATCCCTTAATCACGGGAGGCAGCACCCATTTAAGGATGCAGCTGGAACAGATCAGTCAGAGCAAAGGAACTGGGTGCAGAGTCTACACTAGTCAGGAAATATCAAGAGAGAAGTGAAATGCACAGCAGGTAATGAAGGGGCTCCAGCACCCTGGGTAGGAACTTTCAGCCGATGTTAAGACAGAAGGACCTAACATTCCCAACAGGAAAGGCCACGTGGAAACTAACTGCATATTTTGTGTTTCTTTTGTAGGATGTCAGACTCAACCAGAGCAGGTAAGGCCCTCTAATCCTGCCTTCTTTATACACATCCTGAAGACACTGCAATCCATCTGTTCCCTTGTGGATGGCCACCCAGAAACACACTGTGGCCCCTTCTCTCCACTAACAGCTCAAAATCAGTAAACACATGGGGTGAAACTAGGCCTTGTGGCTCATGCCTTTAATCCCAGCACTTGGGAAGCTGAGGTGGAGGGATCATTGTGAGTTTGAGGCAAGCCTGGGTTACAGAGACCCTATCTCAAAGTAACGAAATAAGTGGCTTTAGAATGATCTATGTGTAGGGGCATTTTGTGTGCATACCGTGTACGTGTCTGGTGCCAGAGAAAACGAGGAGGCTGGCAGATCCCCTAAAACTAGAATTGTTGTGAGCCACCCTGTAGATGCTGGGCACCAAACTCGGCTGTTTGGCATGTCCAGCTCCAAGAAGTTAACATTAATCCCTGAGATTACTGATGTTTTAGTACCTAAGGCCATTTGAAAGTGTCTCCAAATGGGCTTCTCAAAGAATGTCAGAACCGAGTCGAGAAGGACGCAGTGAGTCTTACAGTGTGATGGGGAGCTGAGGGGAGATTGGCTAAGTCACATAGCCAATGAGTAATGAGACCTGAAATGAACAAGAGCCAGGGCTTTTCACACACACAAATAAAATGAAGTACTTTATTTGTAGAATTTAAGTTTGATTTCCAACTCGTTTGCAGGTATGAGACAAAGACTTTTGTGAGTCCAGAGGCCATTTCCTCTGATCTTGCTAAGAAGATCCGAAACCTCCACAGGAAAATACTTGGCCTCCCAAAGATGATGAGGACATTCTCAGGTAAAGGGAATCTTCTACCCTTACATCTGTCTCTCTCTTTCCCCATCTTCAAAACCCGGTTCAAACCTCCAAGCAGGCCTGTAATGTTAGCACCAGGGAGACTGAGGCAGGAGGATCTCAAGTTTCAGGCCAGCCTGGACTACAGTGAAACTCAAACAAAAATCAGCCAACAGCTTGGGTTAAGCATCTTTCCTCCCCCAGAACTTCCCACAAGACCCCACTCTACTGAGGGAGTAAGGATAGAGACACTAGGCCGAGAGTCCAGGAAAATGAGGCAATTTCTCTTCTGTCCTTGCCCTCACACGGTAGCCAGGACACCCTCCCCTTGGAAGAGATAGCAAGTCTCACAGATCTTTCTTCTTTCCTCAGAAAACTTGATGCACCATTTGGAAACAGATTCAGGTAATCAGCAAGGGCTGGGGAGGGGGCTCTACCCCACTTATCCATTGCACCCACGACCACACACAGCAATAAAATGTGCTCACTGGACCCTGACTGCTGGGGTCTCGGGACTATTAAGCGTTTTCTCTCCACCATAAAATGTAAACAATAACAATCTACACTACAAATCCATGAGGATTAAATAAATTAATGTGTACAAAGAGCTCAGCACAGTACTGGACACAGTGATGAATGTTGCCAGTTACCTATGTAGTCATTCAAAATATGTACTAAGCCCCGAGTTTTGGCTAGAATTATGCTACAATCGCTGTAAATTTGAACTAATATTGTTGCTGGGGGTGGTGGCACACAGCTACAATCCCAGAACTAGGGGCAGTCAGATTGACTGCTACAGGTTCGAGGTCAGCCTGAGCTTCTGAGTTAGTTCCAGGCCAGCCTTAGCTACTGACACTCTTTCTGGGGATGGGGTGGGCTCTAGGGCTGTACTAATAACTTTCTACTAGAGCTTGCTTGCCTAGAATGCATAAAGTCCCAGTACCACAAAAAAGGTGCTGAGAGGGGAGAGGGAGGAACAAAAATAGCATTAACTTTCAAATTGGAGCTTAACTGTTCCCACATGCACCTGCCTGTTCTTACATTGATCTCTACTTCTTTAACTTAGTGTAGAAATGCCATCCAGACACCCGGTTAAAATACAGGCTCTTGTTCGGGTGGCCTATGGTGGGGCTCAAGATTCAGTGTCTTTTTACGAGGTCCCAGGCACTGCTGTAGCCTGGCCACCTCACTTTAATAAGAAGCAAGTTCTCAGGCAGAGATGTCACATCTGTCCTCCAGAAATAGAAGCCTAAGAAGCAAGCAGCATGGACGATACTCCATCCTGGAAGTGCGTGTGTGAGGTCACTCTGAACCCTCAGACCACAAACCCGAGCCTGAATGTCAGCTGCACCACAGGAGTGGGCACCGAGATGGCCAGGATGTGGGCGAGCAGGCCCTAGATACCAAGGACAGTGACTGAATGCTCTTGAGGCTCTTGCTCCAGCTGGCCAGCACCCACCTGTCCTGAACCGGGGGACACAGCTGTCCTTCACTGTGCAGACATGGCCTTGGACTACCTTGGAAACATCCCATACCAGAGCACCAATGGTCCTCTCTCTCTATTCCTACCTCACCTGGAAAACAAGTTCCTGCCTGACTTTGAATGACCGAGGTGGAGTCAGGAAGTGTGGCCGAGATACCAGCAGCCTGGAACCCAGCTCTGTCACTAGCCTTCAAAAGTGGGATTGGAATTTATTGTCTTGGAGTCTTGTACAGAGGTTTTTAATCTGTGTTGAGTACACTCGGCTTCCTGCAGTCCTATTCGAGTGAAGAGCCAGAGGCAGGCAAGGAAGGCTACACCCTAGACACCAGTAAGCTATGAGTCAAGGGATTCAGAAGGGGAAAAACAAAAGAAAACAAACAAAAACCTGTAAAAGATTCAAAGTGATCAGTGTAGGGAAGCCAGGACTCTGTTTGGTTTGCGTTAATTTATAGTGGCTTTTGGACACAAAAATTGGATATGCTTCGGGGCCGCATCAACTCTGGGTGGACCCCAAAGCCCTTTCAGGTCATTTGTACAGGTCTTCAATGTCTTAATAAAGTATGTACCCACAGGCCTATGTGTTTTGTGTCTAACATATCTATTGTGACAACTCTGAGCTAGGACAGGCAAAAGTCTACAGTTCTGATGGTCAAGGCCTCTGAACGATCCTCTGTTAAATGATTGGTTCCCAGGGTGGCATGTCTTTAGGTCACTGGGCTGTGCTCTGGAAGGGGACTATGGAAGCCTGGTTCACTGTCTCCCAACTGATGAGATGTGACTTTGTCAAGCATGCCTGCCAGGATATGTTGGTGACAGACGCCAAAAGCGCTGAGACCGGTGATCATGGACTGCACCTTCGGAACTCTGAGCCAAGATAAACCTTTTTCTAGGTTGCCTCAGATGCCTGTAAAACAATTTTTCCTTTCCCTAGGTGCAGCAGCGTATAAGCCTTTAAATCCCACCCAGAGTCTGAGGCCAGCCATGTCTACATGGTGAGTTCCAGGCTATGGAGGGTTACATATTGAGATCCTGTCCAGTCCCTTTAATTTTATGTATGTATATAAGTTCCATGTGTGTGTGCACGCACGCGTGTGAGCATTCAAATGTACCATTCAGAGTGTAACGTGCTGGTACGTGGAGTAAAGATACAGATAAGACTTTCAGGTCCCTCTGTAAAACAGAAACAGGCCACTGAGAAAGATCACGAGGCAGAGTGCCCCATGGGAATTCTGAACGACAGGAGCATAAGGCAGTGAAGCAATCCTCTGACATTCTGAAGGAAAACTATTTTGAATAATCCTATAGTGAATCCCTTCAGTGTACAAGTGAGATAAACAGTTCCAGATACTGAAGATTTAAAAAAAAAAATTCAACTTCCACACTCACCTCAGGAAGTTTTAGATAATGTGTGAACAAAACACAGTAAACGGGGAGAGGAAACACAGGGCCCAGAACCAGGACCATGGTTGGGGATCAGCTGAGGAAGAGCTTGCCTAAGATGCCTGAGACCCTGGGTTCAGTCCCCTGCACTGTATAAACTAGGCATAGTGGCACCTACCTGAAACCTCAGAATTTAGAAGGTAGAGGCTGTAACATTAAGGACCATCTTGAGCAACCTAAGGAGACTGTGGCTAGCCTGGGCTAGAGGCCTTGGGGGGAAAATCCCGGAACTTCCTAGTCTAATAACTAAAGGGGATCTAAAAAGCTGTGCACAGAGGGGGCTATCAATGACTCAGGTTCAAGGTCACTTCAGAGGCATCAAGATAAAGCTGGAGACAGCACCTGAGGACTGTCTTGAGATTTCTGACCACCATTCAAAAGAACTTGTAGCTTATTTAGTCATAAAGACACAAGAAATGAATTAAAAGGAAGAGAAGATGATTAATTCCAGGAAGTAAAAGGTGGCGAGGGAGCCACCGGGCGTTACTAGTGGCTCAGGCAGCAGGTGATACAAAGTGTTCCGTCTTGAGACAGTGGTGACTCTGCGGTCACCAAGACTGAGTGTAGGGAGCAGTCTCTCAAGAGCAAAGAGGAGCTGAACAGTTGGACAGGAAGAAGAAAATGTGGAATGTTTAAGGATAAAAAGAGGGGCATCGTGTTGGCTAACTGTGGACGGTGGTGACTGAACAAAGGTGCTGGTGTTGGTTCAGCAGGGGACACGGCACGCGCACCCCTCACAGTAAGACCCCTCACAGTAGATTCCTCGTGATCCTGTCTTCCCTCTCCAGTCCAGCTCCTAAGACAGTGACTCTGGACACTACTTGGTGCCAGCAACAGACTTAAAGCTGTCCAGAGACACTAGCTGGAGACCCCGAGGCAGGAGTAGTTCTGACCTCAGTGTTCTTAGATCACCGATCAAGAGCGAGATGTTGGGATTGTTGTGGAAACTCCCTTCACAAGGACTACTCTGCAGAGGTAATTTATTAGCCACAGTTGCTGCCTGAGTCACGGTACCTAGATGCTTTCGGAGACACAGATGGCCTGGGGAGTCCCACCTGCTCAGCTCTGGGTTTGGAGGCCATGAGCTCTGCTAACTACACCAGGGGATGATCCACCAGCACTCAGGACACAAACTCACACTGCCTTAGAAACTTGAGTGGGTCTGGACTACGTTCATTCTCATTTCTTCAGATACTTAACTCTAGTGGGGTAGGAAAAGTGAGGTTAAGAAGCCAGGGAAGGTAGGCAAGAACGGTTTGGGAAGAGGAACCTCAAGTTTGAGGACAGCAAAAAGGTTTCAGATGTCACTCAATACCTAGTAGCACTGGACAACTGAACCAGAAAATGACGCTGATGCTGCCCCCACTCAACAGAGAACAGAGTCAAGACAAATGGATGCTTAGGATGGAGGGGGTCATTTGGTCTTCAGAGCAGGAGATCCCAGAGGAAATGGGCAGGAGGGGTGAGAAGTTAGAACAAGAAATACAGACGGAGTGACAGGGCTGAGAGAGTGTGGCCATGGCAGTGGGGACATGGGTGCGATTGGATGTGATGCCCCTCAACTCTCCCCCTCCTCCTGCTCTGGCCAAGAAAGTTCCTCCATCACACAGCTTTGGGATCCCACAGAAAGGAAGCTTCCAGAGGTATGGGATCCAGGCAACCTTCTTCATCTCAAGAGTCCTTGAATCTCAGAGAACTGCAGATTCTGTTGTGTAGCCTAGGCAGATTCTGGAATTCAGGGTCTCAGCGTGAGGCGTGTTCCTGGCCACTTGAGCCACAGGAAGGGAACCAGACGCCGGGTGAAGGTGGCCGTGAAGGTGTAAATGAGTTCCTGTGACTCTGCATTGGTGAACGTCACGGTGCCCCCTTCATAATCCAGGGCAATGCCCACTCTCCGGGGCCGCAGCACTGGGAAGAGCTGGGCCTCGGGGCTCGTGTTGGCCCAGATGCCTGAGGAGGAGAGCCGAAGGGCCCACACACCATCCTCTGGCCGCAGGGACAGGTCCCCTTTCCTCTTCATAGAGTCTTTGGCCACTCCCACCATGCAGCTTTCCAGAACTTCCTCCTCCTCTTCCTCTTCCTCCTCCTCTTCCTCCCCTAGTGATTCCTCATCCTCATCTGTTTCCCAGTCTTCATATCCATCCCCATAGCCAGCCTCCTCATCTTCTTCCTCCTCTTCCCCTTCTTCTTCTTCTTCCCCCTCCTCCTCATCCTCTGACCAGCCTTCTCGTTCCAACTCCACTTCCCAGTACACCTTGCCCCAGGTGAAGCCCTTGCTGCCCAACACCCCTGGCTCACAGTCAAACTGTTGGGGGTGCAGGCAATCACTCTGGTACTGGCTGGTATAGGTCACACACTTCCAGTCTTGTGAGAGCTGCAGGTACCCGCTAGCCGACTGTGGGTCCAGGGTGACACTCACTGTGGGAAAGGGAGGAAGGAATAGTGTCAATGGCAGGCTGGGAAGGGGCAACCACTGTCCATAGTGTCAGCGCTGCCTCGCTGCACAACCCAGAGTACTGTGAAGGGTGTCCCCTAGAGGCACTCAGCACGCACCTCTGGCCTTGGGCTTCCACAGCTGTTCAAGGACCACGTGGTCAGGTAGAGGAGAAGGACTAGAAG